GCAAGGACGCAACTAGGGGCTCCTAGCATCGCTACTAGGAGCAAGAACGCTACTAGGGGCTCCTGGCCGTACTACTAGGAGCAAGGACGCAACTAGGGCACTAGGGGCTCCTAGCATCGCTACTAGTAGCAAGAATGATGCAAGGGGCTCCTGGCCGTACTACTAGGAGCAAGGACGCAACTAGGAACAAGAAGCTAATTTGTCATCTTCACCTCACTTCCACTTCTCACCTCTCAGCCCTTCAGAGTAGCAGTTGCTTGTCAGCCATCGGAATGACGTTTTTAGCTGTCAACGTAATAATGTTGATGTAAGAATGAACACCGCAAGCACTTGACAAACAGATGGCTCCACGAACACCAAAAGCAGGAACAACCATCACACGTCACTTCCGAGTTTTGGCAAACTTCAAGTATGCATTTGGCCTTTGTGCCAAGAGAGCCCAACAGCAGCGAACTCTCAAACATTATCTCTCAGCTTGGCTTGCCAGAGCTCCAAATTGAGGTGGCTTCATCGAAGACATTGACGCGCTTGGCCTGCATTTCAGACGTCTCACGCAGGACACAGGTAGCAGAAAACATTGTTTGCTTCTCCGAGACCCACTTTCCAGACCCGTTGTGAAATCAATATGGGGCAAGTTTATGAATGGCTGTTGCACCAAGGTGCTGCAGTGGCTTCTGACAATCATGGCAATCCTTGGCACTGTTACCTTCATTGTGATGCTCGGCTGTTGCCGGCATAGTCATGCTCACAGGTTTGTGTACTGTATTTGTTTCTTAGTGTCTCCATGCGTCTCTTTCAATGTCACTCAGCTGAACGCTTGCAGACCACGAGGATCCTGAACATGATCATTGCCATCTACAGCAATGAGTATGGTCGTCTAGAAACAGAGTCGGACCTCCTTTTTCAGCGAGAGACTTGTCTGTACCTGTCTGGCAGAACGAAGGTAGAAGGCGCAGAACGGGAAGTTGCTTCTACAGTTACGGTGCTCACAGAATTGGTGTGCAAGCAGGCTGATGCTGAAAGCGCAGTGTTCTTCTATGCCAGAATTCTTGAAACTATGCACGGCGCCCTGGGTCTGAGGAAAGAGCAAAGTACTGCTGCAATTGCTTGCGCCTGGCTTAAATCATTGCAACTGCACCGTATTCTGATCAGCCGATGTGTCGAACAAAACTCAAGAACTGTCCAAGGTTGGGCATGCAAAAGTTACGCTCGCGGAGTTGTTGTTTCCGATACCTGGTTGCTGCTGCAGTGATCCTTGGAACGCTGGCACAGCTGTCCTAGCAAACTCTGCATTCAAATTTCATTAATATTCGACATCCTCTTCAATACCAATTCTTACTTTTTACGAAAGCCAGCCGGTAGGCCAGGCTGGAGTGATGGGCGAACGAAGTGAGTATTAGGGGTGTAAGGGGGGTCGGTTGCGAGGTGGTACCTTTCGGGCCCAAAGCATGGTGGGGGAGAGCTAAAACAATTTGGGGTAACATGTAGTCAACATGTGTGTTTATAAGGGCGATGGTGCTGCGAGTGATGCCAAAATTGTTGAGCAGCGAATGGTGCATAACTACAATCAAAAAGTTGCTAGGATACCAATAATAAGTGGACAGCAGCCTGCCGCTCGTCGTGGCTATGTAAGAGTTGGAGAACATGGCTGATGGGCCGGGGGCTGCCCACATTGACTCCCACGCTCTTGTACAAACAGAGATTTTCACCTCCATCTCCCTTGGACATTCACCGTTTGGACCGTTTGGGTGCTAAAAAAGGGCGCCCCCCAACATGACTTCGTAGACTGTGGTAACTCGCAATGGTCCAGGAGAAGGAAAACCTAGGTGAATGATCAATCGCTCAATCCACTCATCCTCATCCTATGCTTTCAATCGTTCTCGTGACTTTGCAGCCACCAAGGTCAAACAAGTCAACATAGTACCACTGCCTGGCTTTGGGGAAAGCAATGCCGGCACCAGCAAAGGAGGGCTATTTTCTGGGATCTCCCCCCCAAGTA